CTTTATTATAGTATTAAAAAGAGTAATACTGCTTAAGAAACCAAGACTGAGGTGTGCATTCACATCTCAGGACTACAGACCAGCTGTTTGACAAACCTGTATCATCATCTCTCAGGATTCTTTAAAAGTTTATTGCCTGGGTCACAAATTGTACAAATCTGTTTGTATCCTATTATACTTTGACACCACTCCCACAACCTTGCACCACTTCCAGCTCTATCAGTGCATCTAAAGCAAGAGGTGCTTCATTTCCATGAAAGAATAAATCAGTTAACTCCAAAGATGTTTACTGGTTCCTTCATTCCACAACCTTATCTATTTTATTTTTAAAGAGACTAAGGGGAGTTGCAGAGTGCCAGAAATAGTGCAAATTGAGTCCACTTTTAAGGTTAGGGTTAGGGTTAGGGAATCATGGGAACTGTATTTTATTGTAGCACCAGAGCTCTCTGACAGAGAAGGCTCAATGTCTCAGGGGAAAAAAACAATTCCCATGATTCCCTAGCACTAACCCTAACCCTAAAAGTGGACTCAATTTGCACTATTTCTGGCACTCTGCAACCCCCCCTAAAATGGCTATCTCTTGGACAACAACTACCGTAAATTGATTCAGAACCACATTGAATCAGGTGGCCTCTGAATCAATCCAAGCTCAGTTAGGGTGTTTTCTGAACCGTCAAGCAGAAACTGACCCAAATCTTGTGATCAGTGTATGGTCTTATGAGATAACACTCACTGGGTGCTTCAGATGTGTGTGTATGCCTTCAAGTCGCCTGTTGCCTTATGACAATGCCATGAATTTCGTAGGGTATTCTTGGACAAGGGATACTCAGAGATGGTTTTGCCAGTTCCTTCCTTTGAAATAGAGCCTACAGCACCTGGTATTCCTTGGCAATATCCCATTCAAGTACTAACCAGGGCTGATCTTGGATAGTTTCCAAGATCTGGTGTCTCACTGTAGAATAAAACAAATAGAGTCAGTATTTTAAAGAACTCTGTAGCATTTCCAACAACTGGAGAAGACTGACAATGACCAAAAGACCAAAAAAAAAAAGGTAAAAGCTTGGGCCTTGTTTGCACTGGATTAGCCAAAATACATTGAAAGATTGAAAACAGTTTATGGGTGGATTGTTTGTTTCTTTGTTTGTTTTGAGCAATAAGAAATCTAATGGTGTAATAATCTTCTGTTATGGGTTTTAGTAATTTAGAGGATTATTTATTTGGTTTTGTCATGGCAAAATAATATTGCTTTATTTATTTATTTTCTCATTACAGTCAGGATTGGAGGGAGGTCACAGCACTGTTGTGTATTATCTTTTTTCCTCTTTTTTCCCTTTTCTTGCTGTATTTTTATTTTCTGAATGTATATTATTTTGATTGTAGATTAGATTTCTCGTGTGGAGAAGAAGAAGAGGAGGAGGAGGAGGAAGAAATCTGACAAAGGTTTGGAAGAGTAGTGATGAAGGAATTAAACCAAACTTCTTAGGTATAAAGATGTATCACTGAACATCAAAATTGGAATGATTCCATACCATGCCATTTTCAATTTCACTTTTCCATGTCGTGGCTGCAACTAGGGCTGCTTACAGCACAACCATTTCACATCCTTCTGTCTCAGTCAGCTTTAACTTTCATGGCTCCATCCTATGGAATACTGGGATTTGTAGTTTGTTGTGGCACCAGAGTTCTCTGACAGAGAAGGCTAAATATTTCCCAAAACCACAGTTCTCAGAATGCCATAGCATTGAGCCATGAAAGTTAGAATCATAGAATCATAGAATTGGAAGAGACCACAAGGGCCATCCAGTCCAAGCCCCTGCCATGCAGGAACTCCCAATCAATGCATCCCCGACAGATGGCCATCCAGCCTCTGCTTAAAGACCTCTAAGGAATTTAAGGTGTTGCCAAACTGCATTATTTTTACAGTGTAGATGTGGCCTATGGTATGGAACCTCTTCCATGGAGGAGACTCCAATGCCTTCCTCCGTAGTCTTTTTTTCCCCAGTAGACAAAGCCTTTCTTATTTAAATATTCAGCCCTTCACTGAAGATGTGAAATGGATATGCTGTAAATTGCTTTGGGTTCTATTTAGGGAGAAAGGCAGGATATAAATCAGATAAATAAATGGATATAAAACCTGGATGATGAAGAAATCTAACAAGAAAAATATCAACTCAGTCGAAATGATGTGTCGGAAGAGAGCTTTATGGATACAATGGACTACCAAAAAGACAAATTAAATAGGTATGATTGGAAATCAGACCTGAACTCTCACTAGAAATCAAAATGGCTAAACTGAGGCTATTTTATTTTGGGCATATCATGAGATGGTAAGACTTACTGGAAAAAACAATAATGCTCAGTAAAGTAGAGAGCAGTAGGAAAAGAGGAAAACTACAATACAGATGATTCATTCAGTCAAAGAAGCCACAGTCCTACATTTGTTGTTGTGGTGCACCTTCAAGTCATTTCTGACTTATGGCAACTCTAAGGCAAACCTATTGTGGGGTTTCCATGGCATGATTTGTTCAGATAAGGTTTGACATGTGACTTGCCCAGGATCACCCAGTGGGTTTCATGAACAAGCATGGATTCGAACCCTGGTCTCCAGAGTCATAATCCAACATTCAAACCACTGTACCACGCTGGCTCTTATCCTAGAGTTTCCAGGGCTTCTAATAACAATATTCATTCATAAGATCATCATAGAATCATAGAGTTGGAAGAGACCACAAGGGCTATCCTGTCCAAACCGCTGCCATGCAGGAACTCTCAATCAAAGCATACCTGATAGATGGCCATCCAGCCTCTGTTTAAAAGGCTCCAAAGAAGGAGACTCCACCACTCTCCAAAGGAAAGTGTTCCACTGTCGAACAGCCCTTACTGTCACAAAGTGCCTCCTAATGTTGACGTGGAATCTCTTTTCCTGCAGCCTAAGTTGTTCCTCATAGGGCATGGTTTCCAGACCCTTCACCATTT